TGCCTTTCTCCTAAGTAGAGTTCAAGGGATAATTAGCACGAATCATAAGTTTACCCATGCCCAAATTGGTCTACATAAACCAGAAATGAGTTCGGGAGCAAGGGTACTAAAATAAAGTTACTTTTAGGGAGGAATCGCTATTCTAGCCCTATTATGGCCTCTACTAGCTCTTCTTTTTCACAATTTCATTACCAAACAATATATGCAATGTGATACCAAAAGACTAAGTTAGTTGATTTTATTTACAAGCATTAATCACGTAGGAATTACATTACAAAAGTCGTTATTCTTTGTTTAATAATATTCGTGAAAGAACAATAAATAAACAAGATTTGCCTTGTCTTAAGTGATAAAAAACAATTAATTATTCAAATTCTAGTCTTGATTAACGAAAGAGTACTATGTGAATTAGTTAATCAAAAGTTTGTTTAAAGTGATCAAACAACAATAATTACTCAATTAAAGTTATTTAAACAATAAAAGAAAAGTGATTTATCTAAGTGCTCAGGAAACTAACCGTTCTTCTTTTATGTTAAATCTCCGTTTAATGTGTTTATGGAATTTCTTTCTTCTTTGTACCTTCAAGAGCTTCAATGGAGGGATTAGAGTTGAAGAGTATTTGGGAAGAAAGAGGGAAAAGTAGTATGATAGTAAGAGAAGTAGAGAGATTAGGGTTTGAGAATACTAGGGTTTTAATTCTGATTTTTTTCGGTCCCCGTCATGCTGAACGAAGACCCCTATTTATAGGTGTAGGGATCTAGGTTTAGGGTTTTAGAGTCGTGTCGTCAGGTGATGCGCGCAACTCTTAGAGTCGCGCTGGGGTGTCGCGCGCATCTCAATGAGTCGCTCGCGCAAGGCGTGCGCAACTGATTGAGTTGCGCTGGTTTGCGGTTTGCCTTATACGAAAACGAGTTTTTAAAACTTCCATAACCTTTGATTGCGGAGTTGGATTAAGGCGTGTGAGATATCATTGGAAATCTCTGAATGTCTACTTTCCAATGCCGTTAGAATTAGACTAAAATATGTTATGGATCAAAATTTATGGCCGTTGGAGTGCAAGGGTGTCGGTTTTAGGGCCCGGTTTAGTGTTTTGATCATAACTTCTTCATTTTGGCTCGAAATTGGGCTTATAATATACCGTTGGAAAGCTCTTTGAAAAGGCTATTCATTTTTATAGGACTTTCACGGGAATTTGATGGTTGGTTTATCTTTTTGGCTCGGTTTTCAACAACGTAGGTTCCATTGGAGCCAATCATTGCATTTAACGCATTTGGGTCCGTTATTAATCAAGTTTAAACATGTATGAACACGTTTTAGGCCTAATCAGTAGTCGAAAAAGGCTCTAAAATAACTTGGTCTCAAATATGGGTTTCAACTTACTTCATAATTCTTTTCATAGTCCATAAACACTTCAACTTTGATCTAGCATGAATAACGGATTTTTGTAACATCATCGCACTTCCTTTCGGGACAAGAGGCCAAAAGTAGGTGTCTACAATAATCTGCTCACTATGGACCAGAAAAATGTAGAGGCCTCGACTTCGAATGTTGGTTGCAAAGTAGATTGGTCGATGGTATGGAATGCTGAGGTTCCACCAAAAATTAAATTTTTTGGATGGCGTGCTATGAAGGAGGCAGTGGCTGCTCGTCTTAGTCTAGATAAACAAGCAATGCAATTGGACACGACTTGCCCAATGTGTGGGAATGCGGTTGAGAGCACCCTCCATATGCTTGCTCAATGTGATGATGCTAGGTGTATTTGGTACCCATCTCCCCTGCGGCTGGTGGTGAAGGACTAAGAAAGTGAATCCTTCAGGGATTGGTGCTGCTCAGTTCGCAAGAAGCACAAAGATCCCTCTTGGTGGAGCTTATTTTGGAGTATTTTATGGGGAGTGTAGCTGCGTGTGTAGGAATGCGTGGGTATTCGAAGGAAGGAAGAAAGAAATGAGCGACATCATTCATAAGGCCGTGGGTATCGTTGGTGAGTATGAACAAGTGAAAGACACTGCTAGCATTCATGTTGCACCGCAGCTCTTGGAGTCTCGTTGGCAGCCCCCCCCCCCCCCCCCCCCCCACAAGGTACGATTAAATTAAACTCTGATGCTGCAACTTCCAATTTATCTTGTGTGGGTTTGGGTGGAGTTTTGCGTGACACAGTTGGGGATGTTGTGGTCTCAACATGCTTACGGATGGTTGGAAAATTTGAGGCCAATGTTGCGGAAGCATTAGCATTGAGACACGCTTTGTCTATATCTTTGGAGTTGGGCTTTGATGTTGTGTGCTTGGAGACGGATTGTTTGAAGGTAAACAATCACTTGGTGAAAGGTATGACTCCCTCTACTGCATTTGGCCTTGTTATAAATGACATACTCCAATTTGCCCTTCGATGCCAAACATGTTGTTTCTCCTTTGTGAAGAGGTCTGGCAACCGAGTTGCCCATGAGCTAGCTAAGTTAAGCTTTTCTTTTGATGAACTTAGAGTTTGGATGGAAGAGGTTCCTATTGGTATCTCTGAATTTGTAATCGATGATTTGAACCATTTGGTTGATTAATAAAATTGCTAGCTCGTGTTCCGTCAAAAAAAAAAAAAGAAAGAAATGGTGTACCAAAGATATAATTATGATGTAACATATGTTAAAAAGGGCAAGCTTAAAAAAAATTGTACTAATATATTAAAAGGCATTTCTTATAACGTCCACGTGTCACGTAAATTCTTCTCATTGCATCACGTCACTCATGCAACTACTCATAACGCCATGTGGCTCTCCCTTCCAGAATTAATTATCTTACCACCAAGTTATGTGATTTTTTATGTGAACTTTTGAATACAAAATATTAATATATAATATATGACATATGACATATGCAACAACAAATTTAATTAGAAGAAAATTGAATTATAAATTACAACATATATTACTGATCAATTCCATGTAATAATCCGAGGCATCGATCGGACCCAAAAACTTGTTAAAATTAAAACCAATACCGGTTACAGCAAAAATTAAGAAGTACTCCATACTTCGTACAGACTTTCAATTAAAGTTTACCTGTAATTGCATTTATATAGTAAGTAGAAAATGGAGCAAGGATTAAAATTATAATGATGTATGTTATAAAATGATATGTTTTTTCTGCTTCTTTATTGTATGTCAAGTTCAGTTTTAGTGTTGCTTTGACATTGTAAAATCACTATACCATCGAGTTAAAACAAATTTGACTAAAATGACCAATATTTTGGATTGAAGTTATCAATATTTTTATAAGCTTCTAGTTGTTGATTGGTTTCACATATTCGCATTCCGGATTGTGTTTTTTAGATGGTTTCAAAATAGGATTCATGTCTTTTAAACCTAGGAAGTAGGAACCCTATTTATGAAGAGCGGTCGCTCATCTCTCTTTTCAAGTTCTCGGTCCTATTTAGAGAAAAACTTTGAATCTTGTATTTTCCTTTTTTTTTTTTTTGACAAGAGCAAAGGAACATCAAACTAAGAAAAAGAAGACAAAATACGACGACATTTCTTCGCGATGTCGTTGGCCCGTTTTACCTGTTCCCTTGGGACCTTTAGGATTGTGCACCTCAAAAAAGAAGCCCCCACTTCCCTAATTTCCTTAACCAACCAAGTGATCGAGACATCCTTACCAAGGTTATCTTGCAGGTTATTAATGAGAGAAATAGAGTCAGGAGGATACCATGTTTCCCCTGTGTCCTTGCCCATTTCATTGCCTCAAGACACGCCCAAGCTTCACGCTGAACTGCTGAAGAGGCCACCCCACATCTTCCCCCCTCCATTGTCCTACATGTAGGGCTAACCCTCACTGCCGCCCAACCAACCCCTGCTCTAGAGGTCTCCTTATCCCATGACCCATCAGCTTCCACAATGAAGTTATCATAACCAGTCATGTCCTTTCCCAAGTGCACATGATAAAAGCCAGGAGGAATGATTGGGTCATTACACCTCAACTCCCTGTCGGGAGTTCCTTGATTACCCTTATAAATGAAGCTTTCATGGTCTTGCATTGCTTGGTTTATAAATTCCTTCACCAAACTCGCGTTCCCATTAGCATTCTTGAAGCATCTAGCATTTCTCGACTTCCACAAACCCCATAATGTTGCTATGAACAAAGCATTACGAGTACTATACTTACCATCCTCGCTATGAATCTTGTATTTCCAATGAAAGTTTATGTACAATAAAGTATTAACAATTGCAAATTCATGGAGTAGTAGTAAATGATATTTCCTTATATTAGAACTTTGGAAGATTTTAATTCATGGAGTTTTATTTCCTAAGAAGCGGTAAAAGTCATTTGATTGAGTATCTGAAGTTTTTGTACCAATTAAAAGTTTCACTTACCCATAATACCTCAAATAAGCAACTTATTTCTATACGAAATAGTCTTAAGATTGAAAGTGCAACATTCTATATTATTGCAATATTGCCACCCAAAATGTACTTTCTCATCCTTCATATGATCTTTTACTTCCCATATATTATTTATTGTACCAACATTGCACGATTTGTCTTAATAAATACTTTCAAAATATAAATTTTTTACGGACTGTAATTAGAGACATAATAGCACTGATTTGATATGCAATACAAATATAAAATCCTTTGAATACGACACAAACTTAAACATCCAAAAGAAAATTTTGCCTAGTATTTTGACCTTTATTTTGCTTTACTTTCTTTAAACTCTTCCTTTTGCTGACTAATTCAATAGTTTAGGTTACTTTTAAAACCAAAAACAGTTATAAGTGATTAAGTGTTCCAATTGATAATAACTGTGACTTAAGCTGATGACCAATCATTAAAATTAGTATTATCCCAAGTCAGATGGCTAACCCCAAAAACAGACCAAACCCACCTAAACTTAGTCCTATTTTAGTATTTATAAATTAGTTAAAAGTAGCTGAGCTCCTAACCCACTTTAAAACTACCAAATATTCCATATTTCAACTATTATTACCTCAAAATTGTCTATAAATTGTTGCATACTAAACCTTCTCAAATCACCAACTTACAAATTCAATTATATTTCATTACTACTTTAGAAAAAGCCCTCATTAATCAACAATTTTACCCTTGTTACTAACACCAAGCACTAAAGTTTGCAAAAAAATTAAACTCCTCATGGAAATGATGAAGGGTGTCATAGTATTAGCAATTTCTTTGATGGTGCTAGATTTAGGAGCTTATGCACAAGTTCCTACTTCCCCTTGCACATCCTCGATGCTTTCGAGCTTTACTCCTTGCGTAAACTACCTTACCAACAGCAGTGGCACCGGATCTTCACCAACAACCGATTGTTGCAACTCATTAAGGAATCTTATGAGCAATGGCACTGACTGTATTTGCCAAATTGTGACCGGGGGTGTTCCTTTCCGTCTTCCTATCAACCGGACCACGGCTATTTCCCTCCCTAGGGCCTGCAATCAACCTGGGGTTCCACTTCAGTGCAAAGGTGAAATCATTATAACAATATAACATTATAACCTCCTCTGCTCTATAGTTTATTATTACCTATCAATCTGTCATGTTTTATTATGATAAATTTATCACTCTTTGAACTTTCTAAATTTAGTAACATAAACATCGAAATACTTTATATTATTCATAATGATGTCATTGGCTAAAATACAAAAGAATGACTACACTGATAAGGTGAATATAGTACTAATGGTATCCTTGTTTAATTTCTAAAAATCATGTATGAATTGTGGTACGAAGTTATATTTAAGTACATACTTCATCATTTATATGTATACATTGTATTTCACAACTTATTAATCAAAGCTTATAAACTTTGACTAAATTCAGAACTAAAAAAAAAAAAAAAAAGGACTTTTTATTTTTTTTTTTTTTTTTTTTTTTTTTTGTTTTCTTATCTTGTGATATTAAAGTTGTATTTTTCTCTGATTTCAGCTTCTCCTGGTGCTCCAGTTCCTGCTCCAGGTACGATTATATGTTTTCCTTTCTTTTTTCCGATAATTTTACCTCATTAATAAATCAAATTGATCAGAATTTCATTATATTAGTATCTGTTCTCGACATAGTAGTTAATAGTTATTAATTTGCTAATTTTTCTTGATACTTGCAGGTCCGGTTGCCTTTGGCCCATCTGCCTCCCCTGCATCATCCATCTCTCCTAGTCCCGTCGGTTAGTATCTTTATCATGAAATTCATTTGAATTCCAGTACATGAGCAAGATTTATGAAAGTATTAAGGCTAATTCTGATCTGTTATTTAACTATGCAACAGGTACAGTTCCTACATCTGATACACCAGCACTAGCTCCAGTTTCAGACGCGAATCCAACATTGACTCCACCATCTACAGTAGAAGGTGGTTCTCTGCCACCAACATCAACAAGTACAGGAACGGGTTCTGGTTCTTCTCTCAACCCCTCGGATTCAGCTGCAATGCCTTCTCTGAGCATTTCACCTGCTGTCTTGCTTTCGGCAGTTGCTGTCATGATGATGAAGTACTTCTAGATTATTTTCTGATTTATCCACTGTTATGTAATATATGGATGAGGATTATTCTTTTGAGAGTTGTGATTATTTGTTTCGGGTGTGTTTTCTTTTTCTTGTATTGTAAGGTTGATTGTTTATCAGGAAATATTTATGTACATGTTTTTGTGAAATAAAATTTTATTTTGTGTCCTTATACTGTGAAGAGTTTGATATCGAAATTATTTAATGATCTTGATTATTCAGAGAATTTACACAATTACACATGTTTTAGGTGTGATCAGAATGCACATGAATGCTTATCAGTTGATTACCTAGTTTTCTTCCTTATTGCTCATACAGTCAATGCTTTGATTGTGGGATAAGTCATTCATCTAAGCATCCCTCATAGTTGGTACCCTTCACATTTACATGACTTCGTTTACCATTCGTGTGACTCGTCTTAAATTACTGATCTGCCCCATCATTTTAATGAAACAATAAAAATGAGCATAACAAATTGATACAGAAGGGCAATTATGGAATCATGAAAACAGAATGAGGAAGTACAAACTGCCCTCCAAAAGCTCTAAGCTTATATATAGTTTAGACTGATCAACTCTAGGAAACTGCTGAAAACATAATGGTTTTGAGAGTCATGATGTGCGTAAAATTAGCTCTAGTAATAACCTTACTCTTGTGTGTTTTACCTCTTGGGATAGAATCTCAAAGCCCGGGTTGTTCGTTACAAGGCCTACAGCTTGATAAGTGCTTAAACCAAGAAGGACAATATGTTTTCTTAGAGCCTTGTTGCAGAGCCCTTAACCAAGCTCTTCGAGTTGGGTTCCACTGTTTGTGCTCAGTTTTCATGACTGATGCTCCTCAATTAACCACCATTTTCTCTTTGTCCTTTTCAAGCTGCTACATTACTGTCCCTCCTTTCACCATGTGCCGAGGTAAATACATTCTAATCATATTCATACAATGATACAATACATTATTTACTCATAATCTTTTCTGAATATGAGTTTCATTTATTGTTGAAGATTTAGGTACAATGCCAATATCTCTTCCAATTCCTCCCAACAGTTCAGCCAAGGATATTCGGACTGCCCAGCAAACTCCCCTACTGCCGCAACCTCCTCCTCCTCAGGCAATTGGCGGTCAATTAGGCCTTAGTACCACGCCTGCCAATTCTACTGTGGTGGAGCAGCAGTCGCATCCAACCAAAAATGTTACATCGATGCTACATGTGGTGGAGAATGGAAGCAATGTACCTTCATCTGGTAGTAAAGAGGATTATATTTTCTGCTTCAACTGTTGGTTAATTTTTATAGCTCTTTATGCCTTGGTTTTTATATAGCCTAAATTTCTTATGTCGTGTTTTAATCCTTATTGTAGATTTGTACTCACACCATGAGAAAGTTAATTGAGCATTGATGGTTGCCTAAGAAGAGAATTTGTTTAATGAATTTGATGTTCATGTGACCAAGGAATTTGTCTTGGCGTCCAAGATTTAATTTAATACTAAACCTAACCTTTCTAGCTAGCTTAAAGTCACATTGGAAGACTGGAAGTATATGTTTGATTTTAGGAAAATTTGTTAGAAAAACCTTTTTAAGTGAATTTTTTGTTCATAAAAACCTTTTTAAAAAAATTTGACTAGGAGAAAACTGTTATATTTTTTTATTTATTTTTTGTTAAAGATAGCCAAGTGAGACTTTCCAACGTTGACTGTCACGTGCTTCCTAATTTTCTAATCACACCCCTCTTTTCCTAATTCCACTCTTTTCCCTCCAAATTAAACACTCTCTCTCCTACTCTCTCTCATCTACATGAACAAGCATCGAGGCAATTACTCTCTTCTATGCCATGGCTGCAACATCATCAATGACAAATTGAATCTGCATTCAATTTACACCAACTCAACAATAGTAATTTACACCTACTGGATCCATAATTGCTGCATATTTGAGTATTTTCTAATCAACTTTCAAAAACTCTAGAGATGGACAAATTAAGCACTTACCTCTGGTCAAAGCTTGTTGGGAAAGCCTTCAATTGCTTTGAATTGACTTAACTCCAACAATGGCTTATTTACACAGAGTAGAGAGAGAAAGCAGGAGAGACAATATGTGTTAAATTGGATGGAAAAGAAAGTGGAGTTGGCAAAAGGGGGTGGTGATTAGAAAATTAAGAGTCACGTGACACACACATGTGGGAAAAAGGGTGGTCAATGTCGAAAAAAACGCGAGTCAACGTCAGAAAGTCTCATTTGGTTGTCTTCAACAAATAAAATTTTATAACTGGTTTCTTCTATCCAAAAAATTTTTAAAAGGTTTTTCTGAACAAAAGGTTCACTTTAAAAAGTTTTTTCTGAACAAATTTTCCTTAAATTTAAAATTTCTTCATTCTGTATTAAACCAATGTCAGTATATCATTAATGATCCCAAATTAATGGTTCATGTCTTGATGATAAGATATTGGAAAAAATAAAAGTGTACGGTTATCTACCACGGACATTTGAATTAGACAAATAATTAAATCGGATCAAATAAATAACTAAATTAAATTGAATTGAAAACAAAATGAAATGAAATGAAAACTAAAATATAAATCCAAAAGAACATAATTTTACTCCATACCATAAAATTCTTCTCATTACCATTTGCGTGATTTTCAATGCACAGGCCTTAGGTCTAGCCATAGGGATGGCATGTGGGTATTAAAATGCGGGTCCCGTAGCGCACCCGACCTAGTTGGAGCGGATATGGGTCTGACTTTGGCGAGTAAGTAGGCGGGTATGGGTACAAAAGTCATATCCGCCGTGGGATGCGGGTAGGTGGTGGATTTGATGTCATACCCGTCTACCCCAGTGACCTGACTATCCACCTAGTTACCCGCCAACTTATTACTACTTTTTTTTGTATTATCACAAATTGATTATTACCTTGTATCATATGCAATTAATTTATGTATTTACATCAATTTAGATATGGCAAAATGACATTTATTGAAAATTTATTAAACAAATATTGTTCGTTTGACGGGTAAAAAGCGGATAAAAGCGAGTGATAGATATCCACATGGGTAGTGGATCTAGGCTTTTACTCGCTTAGGCGGGTATGGATGTTAAAATTTTACCCGCCTCGAATAGCGGGTTAGTGACAGGTATAAAAATTATAACGGTAGTCAGTATGAGGGAGGGGTACCTGCATTGCCCAATTGTCATCCCTATCTAGCCATAAGATCAGAATATACACATTACAGTTTCAAAAATTTGAAAATATACATTGAGATTATTTCATCAACATTTTACTCATATGATATCAAATTACTCTAAGTAGTCAACAATCAAGGTTCAATTAGAGGTGTCAAAATCTGACTCGACCGATCTAATTCGAAACAGACCCTCCATTAAAAATCAAAATCAGATTTTGACTTGTATGGAGACGATAATATAGTGACATAATTTTAAATAGATTCAATTTGATAGATCTCACCAAATCCGATCAAGACACTCAAATCCAACCCAAAAACCCGAATTGACACCATTAACAGAAAAGAACTAACGATGTCAATATAAGGATTATAAGCAACTCTTTCCCGCCTTAAACAATATAAGGTGTCACATTCCCCTCTATTTCTCTCTCTGAGCTTAGAGCACTCAACAATGGCGATCATCAACACTCCAATTTTCTCTCTCCTCACTCTTCTCCTCTCCACCAACCTCCTTCCTTCCTCCTCAACCTCAACCTCAACAATGGCGTCAGAAAACTGCAGCAAAGAACTAGTCTCCTTCTCACCATGTCTTCCATACACTGTATCTCCACCAAGCAACTTCTCCTCCTCTGTTTCTGACGATTGTTGTCACAATTACAACGACATTCTCATTTCTGGGCGTGGATTTTGCTTGTGCTATCTTCTTCTTCAACCTCCCATTTTCAGCGCTCCGCTCGATTCCGATAAGATTCATTCTCTCTCCTCCATTTGTCCTCCTCCTCGCCAGAGTAACTTCGATTCCTTAACTGATTTCTCTCTCAAATCTTTATGCTCAGGTTCGGTTCGTTTGATTTTTCACCTCGTTTGAATTATTTGATTTTTTAATGATCTGTATTTTGTGTTTTTGCTTTGATTTATTACTCAATTTTGCGATTGTTTGGTTGCATTTTGCTCAACCCTAATTTGAGGAATTTTGATGAGTTTTCAATTTCTTTTTCCTGACCTGAAATGATCTAGTAAAAAATAAATTATAAGAGGAAACCAAAAATAAATTTACTGTTTGAATTTATCTGATATAACTACATTACTGTATTTTTTATTAACAATTGGGAAGAATTCTGACCTTGTTTTAGAAATTTTAAGATGCTCTTAATTTCAATGCAGTCGATTTGTTAGCGCTTGCATTATTTTTAATTTGATTGAAAAGTGTTGAGGTATTTGTGAGTTGTGATTTGGTAGTGGCAATTGTTCGGTTATTTGAACTACATCTTGCACCCGGGTATATATAGAGCTAGGTTTACTTGAATTTTACTACGAGTATGTTAGGTTGTAGATGTAATATAATCATTATATGATTATTATCTCTCTATGTTGGTGGTTAGAATAGCTTATTTTAGTACATAGACATGGTAAATGAAGAAATTTTAGATTTATTATTGGTTACTTTGGTGTTATGTGATGAGATGCATGTTCTACTCTATTGGTGTTCACATTTTCGCCGAGTTAGTCACAAAGAGTTGTGGCGTAGGCAAGGCTCAATCCTACCCGGGTTTTGGTTACCATGTCCCTAGATATGTGTAGTATACATTGAAATTCTGATTTAGGAGTCAAATGAATTGAGTGAGTCTAATAAACCCTGCAATATCAATTGTTATGAACAATGTATGATGATATTGAACTCGACTGTGGTAAGCCCTTCTAGATGTAAATAATTTACAGATATTGTTAACTTCACTTTACGAAAATTTCCAATGTAATGAGCTTTAACTTCGTTTAACTAACACTTAGTAGAGGTGATGGAACAACTTTTGGTAAGTTTGCAGCTATAAATCTGTAAGTAAAACCCTTAGTTAGGATTTGTAGCAGAAAGCAATACTACAACTATCAAATGAAGTAGTACTACTAGTAATATGATTGGATAATATTTGCCATTACAATTGAGTATTAGCTAGGACATCATCCTTATACATGTTACTACAATCTCACTGTTAATAATTTTGTCTATTCCTGTGGACTAATTATTTCATCTTTCTTACTTACTGTTGGCCAGATTCTGAGGCATCACCCCCTCTCCAAAGAGCAGGTACTACATTTGGTGTTGGATTAACTCGCTAATTGAGCTTTTAAAGTATTCAACCAAACAACTATCCGTAAATGATATAATTGTAATGCAATTCATGACAGCAGGTCCAGAGTCTGGAATAAATACTACTACTGAGCAATTCTCAGGTATTTATCTTTCCATCTGTCAAACAGGAGCATGTTGTAATCTCTATTCATGAGATTAAGTACTAAATTAATCTTGGTAATTTATTGCAGGTTCCCCAAATCTTCTCTCTCCAACTCCAGAAATGGACTTGACACGGACATCAGCTGATAGTTTACAATCATCACCGCCACCACCAGGATTGCATACGGGCTCTTCTAAAGTTTCACCAGCAACAAGGATCAGCTTGAGTACTCCTTTAACTGTAATTCTCTCCAGGTATTTTCTTTTATTCACTAGGATATGAGACCATATTTGTTGATTATTCTCTTCTGCAATCTGTTTACCATGGGCTTGCAAAACTTTGCAGTTTACATATAATGCTAAACATGGCCAGATGGGGTTAGTGTGATTCTGTGAAAGCTACAGATTCGGAGTTGCTGAAGTTTGTTAAACCTGTTTTTAACTCATTCAGATATCTTCACCTCAGCTTTACGTACAGAATTCAGTGTATTAGCTGTGTATAGTACTGTTTCCAACAAAAAACAGCAGAGGAACTATTTGTAAAGATGTTAAGCCATATTCTTGTAAGATAGCTGCTCTACTGATCTTTTAGGCAATTTTTACTGCGGCATTTATATTGCTCTTAATACTAATAGCACAAGCAATTTGCTGTCTTCCTGAATGCTATTTGTATCAGATGCACACAATATATCGATTATAACATCAAAACCAAGTCATTTCAGGCTTTCAGCAATATTAGCTGACCAAAATATTCTGAGAATGTTTGATACAAATTATCCCTTCCAGACATTAGACCATTCATCTTCATATTTGACAGATGAAAATGTGTCATTTTCCGAGGATAGCTCTTCACCATACTCTGCTTGTGAACATGCCCTAAAGTGCTTGTTAGAATGAGCTTAATTGTAGATGATGAATTGAAAGAGTCTTAACTTCTTACTCCCTCTGTCTCTATTTTTTTGCCCCATTTGACTATGCACGGTCTCCAACACGCATATGAAAACGTATGCATATTTATTTCCATACACGTAAAAATTATAAAACTGTGATATTAATAAAATACACAATGAGACGAATCTAATAAGACCACTCATGACTATACTATCTTTTATAGAATAACGGTTATTTATGGTCAAAATTTTCAAAGTTTGACCCTAAAAATAGCAATGGGGCAAAAGGGACGGAGGGAGTATTTGATAGGTCTCTTTTATTTCTTTTTTCTTGTAAAAAAATTATATTTGTTGACCCTCATGCTAATATTTAACGCTAATGTTGTTAGATGGTTTAATACAAAGCCGCTAATGACGTTAGCAGTTTATGCCGAATCAAAATATAATAAATAAAAACCACCAAAACCAATCCTATTTGGAAAGTAGTTAGGGATTTTGTGTTAAACCCAACTAGTCTTCTAGCCCGTGCAATGCACGATTTATTAATAGGTATACAA